ATACGAGTAAGTGTCGAAACTGCAAGACTGTTTATTTTTCAATTTCCGTGATGAACGAGGTGTCTTTGGGAAATACATAGATAATATGGTTCAGAAACGGGTTTCCTGTTCTCTTCGGGTAAACTGAAAATGTTTCATCAACATATCTTTTGAAGAAGACAGGTTTTGTTCATTCATTTGCTGTAGTAAATGCGTGAGTCGCGATGTTCGATGAAAACTTCGACAGTGGAGAGTGGTACCATCAGTTTTCTTTCCTTTTGCTGGTACAAATCACCATGCAAAAGTATGTATGTATGTATGTATGTATGTATGTATGTATGTAAACAAAAGTAGTCAGTTTAATATGTAAACTTTCAGGAAGTCCAGCATGGTTTTCCTTGAGAGTGTAGTTCTTCTTTTGATCTCTTCGTCTGGCGCAAGTCTTTGCCCAACGATTTTACAAAACCAGTTGATAGTAATGTTGATAAAAATACTTTCTGACACTATGGCTTATCATTATGATCCCTTTAGTTGCTGGAAGTCAACGAATTTTTTTGGAGAAGTCTCGTAAGCTTTCCATGTGCGATTTAAAATTTTCCCTATATCTGCAATGGTGTTGATAAAATCGGGTCTGAATGAACTGTTGAATAGTATTATGACGGGAGAGAACCAGCTTCATGGAAATGTTTGGCTTGTGGTAGGCAGTAGTATTCCGAGAGTCTGAAACTGCTCTTAAGTCTGAGCTTCACAACTGACCAATAAACGTTTTCTTAACCCAGCTCTGTCTTATCCTTGTACGTGTTTAGGCGAAAAACAGCATAAGGCATGTTTTATCAATACATAGTTCAAAAGGATAATGTTGTCAACCAACCAGAAAAACTTCCGGAAGTCTATCAACCTCCTACCTTGAGGAGGGTACGTGAAATGTGGGCCGAAACGTCAATAGTGGACATTCATTGCGATTAGCCATATGGTTTTTTGCGTTGTATATTAATAAACCGAGTTTCATGTTTTCTTCAGTATGGCTACCAAAGTATGAAATACTTTATTTAAAATGCTTGAGTAACCCGTCTGTGTGCCGATCGCAGCATAAATTGGATCTTAGCCCATTATGATGCAATCAGATCTTGGTACTTCCGCACATTACTCATTGTATCCTTCTCGATTCAGTGCAACTGTTGCATTGTCTCCGTCAGCTTTCTGCATGAAGTCGTCATGCAGAATCTCTTGCATCTTTGTAATTCGCCTCTTGCAAAATTGCTTGGCTTCCTTCTGTGAAGCAAGCTTCCTTTATGCTTATGAAATACACGTTGTCCGTTTCGCACATCAGCATGTTGCGCAACGTGATAGCTAAGTTCAGAAATTTTTGTCAAACAGGGATGAAGACCAACAATGAATTATACCTAAACTCATCACCTCGAACTACATTGAGCACAAGCAATTCGTCGATCTTATCTGCATGATACATATGTAAAGTCATAGGCAACTTTGACAACTGTATTCATCCTTATTTATGGTACTTGCATTACATTCCTTGAAGATGGATCCAGTTCGATTTGAAACGACAGGATTTATTTTACTAAAATAGTGTTAACCTTTTGAAGATTATGATAATCAAGAACTCATATCCTTAAAAATTTATATTTTAAGGATCATGTATGCTTGGAGGTCGCACTTAAACGCTAACAGTTCCTAACCCTTGCATATTTTTCTGAATCGTCAAAATATGTGAGACGAATGTATTAATGGACCCAAATATAAAAAACATTTTTACCTATTGTGGTGAGAAGAGTGGTTGTAAAAAACAGCGATGAAGTGAAAGACCATACTTCGCCGATGGTGACGTTGGTCATGAGGTGCTGTGCGCTAATATAATGAGTGTCGAAGGCGTCGAATAACGTTTTGGTGACGTTTTGCAACTCGAAGTCGTAATCCGTCGTGTGGTTCAAGCCGTTGAGACTCATGTTCCACAGTCGTTCGAGGAACACGTCCCGTTGGTAGTTGATCGCGGCGAGGCCAAGTTGGCGGATCGACTTCTCGTTCGGTTTTTCGATGTAATAGAAAACGACGGCTCCGCCGATCGCGTACAGGCACGACAGCATGATCAGGCCGACGTGGGGCAGAATCAACTTCGCGTACTAAAGTAGAAACAGAGAGTACAGAGTATCGAATGATATATTTGCGACCGAGACAACAAAAATGTGATATGAGGGTAATGTCAGACGCCTGTCGATCCTACGTTTTTCAGACTAGTTTCGACTAGCGTGGCAACCGCGGACCGTCTTGGCAAAAAATGCGCTTGAAACAAGGCTAGCCATCTACGCACACTGGTATGGCGCGAACCTCGATTTGATTGCAACCTCTTCGCGGTGGAATGAGGCTGAGGTTGAGAACGTTGAATACTAGTTGTGCTGCTTTGCGTAGGTGTTGACAGGCTGACCTCTGACCTCTCGTAGGTCCATCCCGTAGGATCTGTTCGCCGCTTATTCCGAACGTTCGCATTCTCTAGTCGAGCAGCAGGTAACCAGTGGATCTCAAAGGAGTTTCCCTGTGCAGCACCAGCCACGACGGTGTGCATCTATGGCCGTTTCCAGTGGTCACTTCTAATTGTCTATGGCCTGTTACGCTGATGCCACATCTGAAATGTGCGTCTGGTCAGGACTCGTGACTGCTAGGTGTAATTTAGGCAAATCGCCCTCTATCTATGCCAAGCATTTGAAGACCGGTGACAGTATGATGGCACTACTTTACGACAGCTGTGAATGCATTCTATAGTAAGGTTGTGTTAATACTTGATTTTCTTCAGCGAAAGATGCCTGTTTATTTGTGAATGAAAGGGGTTTAGTTGCGCTGGGCGTCAGATGCAGATTTCCTTTAGTGCTTATAAGGGAAGCTGTGGATGGAGGATCCACTGAATGCATTCTACCAATGTATGAAGTTTGCAGGAACCTTAGAAAGGGAACCAACTTCTCATGGTAAACGCTAGGAAGGAAGATCTCAGAAAAATTCATCAATGGATTCGACCCAGCTTCGAGTTGCGTCGATATGAGAACTTGAAGAATAAATTGTAGTACTAGATACGGTACATTATGCACATTTAATATACAAGGTAGTAGTATTATCACGTCTCATAGCTAGCTTTAAATCTCATCCGATGTTAGAGTGATAATGCAAACCATTCATACGGCTTAAAGTGAGTCATGAATATAAAAACTGCCATCATATAAGATTTTTTATTGAAAGAACGGAGATGCTGTGACAAGTTCTAGCGACTAGAAAAATTTTCTAAATATCACGTGCCACCCCTTTGCCACAATTTGCCCTGCGTCGTACTTGTTAACACAGAGGGTGGCACCCAAATTAATGAATCGGTGTACGACTGTGCATGTACTTCGAAGCAGTTACGGTAACCGTAAAGGCTTGCCGTTAAACCTGAATCGACTGCCCGTGGAGAGCCCTAGTGATTGACAGAATGTCCTTTTTCTATTTAAAACAATGGTCGAATAGACTGGGGATCACGTGCTGAAAGAAAATTACGATCAAAGTTTTTCTCAAGCAATCAACACAGCGAGTAAGGAATAACGAGTTATCATCCCAGTTATATTTATATAAAGTCCGGAGGACGATTGAAAAATTACATCAGAAGATGAAAGAAAAGATTGGCTTCTTCTTGCGATTTGGATCGCCTGCGCTTGACAGATTAGCCCTATAAATTTTGCAAAGCTTCTCTGTTTGTGCCGTTATTCATCTGAACAGAGATAACATCTTTCCTCATCTGCTCAAAAGGCAAACAAGCATAGCGAAGAAATTTCATGATGTGCTTTTCGGAATTCATTCATAAATTAACCTGGACGGTAGCCACTAAAGATTTGTCTTTGCTTCTGGTCCAAATGATTTTCTTTTAGCAAGATTCTCTTGTAGGTAATCAGCTATCACGCGGGATAAAACGAATTGCCGCTCCAATAGGAGCGCGCATCAGACAGTATCGCCTTATCTTTCGTCCACTCAGATTCGATGACACCGGAGCAGTGGGCGTATGAAGTTTGAACGTCCCAAATAAACGTGAAACTCTGAGCGCGGGTAATGGAGAGCAAGTCTTACAGAAGTTCTCATAAGGCTGTGAACAGCGACAGCCTGATGAAAATTTTTTCAATTAGTCAACATCCCGTTTCAACGAAGCAAGCATAATATTCGAAACCGTTTAGCATACGATTTGCCAAGCTTCAGAGGCAAGTACGTAAGGCGGAAAGATTGAGGGACTCGTCAACATTTAGCCCCGGGGAACGCCAAGTGGTAATCGTTCATAGAAGAAACGCTGAAAATTTTTGTACAAGATGGATACCAAGCGATACCTGCTCGATGATATGCGGTAATGGGTGGAATATACCACTGTTTGATTCACCTGAACATCACTTGGACTTGGAAATATGGGTAATAATCTTGTTTGAACTTCTCCGTTATTTTCGTCCTCAGCCAGAATACAGGATGACCTTTGTCATCTCATGGGGCTATGTAAAGCGTCAGACATCATTAATCTTGGTACTCGGATACTCCAGATAATGATGAGAACAACAACAAATTTCATGTTATGTCTGTAAGTGGTCTGGGGCTACAACTGTCCGAAATTTGAAAAGCGAAATGATGTGGTTTAATACCAACTGCTCCCCAACCTGACCGTTTTTTGGTCGATAAAATACATGGCTCATACTGTACACGGTCCTATCATACTGTTAAGAGGGTAGGCATAAATATAAAAAACGAGTCGTGCATTTCTCAAAGGAGATTGTAACTGAAAGCCTGACATCCACTATGGTCGGTACCATATGGCAACATTAGCGGCTAAGAATAGCGTGTTCCACTGAACTTCGCCCCTTCCATGTAAGCTGCCAGCCCACTCAAGGCTGCAACGGCATGAATGAGCTTTACGTCTGGCTTCCTCGCTCTGTACAACCTGAGGGAATAACGTAGGCTATGAGATGCATCGCCACCATTTAATAGGTGTGCTCCAGACGCGACATAAATTTGGAATTATTGATAACTGTGATCCTTACCACGCTTTTGAAAAATTAAAAAATTTAAAATTCAGGTGATCATCACGTTGTTGTAGGGCACATACGTCTGACGACGAGGCCGTAGATCTCTCACCCATCGGCATGACCGCATCAGAACGCCATGCTGAGCCAATTATTCGAGGGCCAACGACTTGCTACCCGATTTTTCGACTGGTTACTCCTTAACACAGTGCAGTGAATCGCTTGTTCAAGGGAATTGACAATTGGCAAGAGAATTTTCCGCCGCCCAAGAGAAATGAACCTCTCACGGCACCTCTCAAATTCGAAGCCAATCGGAGAGACTCATCTCTCCTTAATGGTCCCTGTTTAGACACCTGCCTCACTATGCTCCGTATGGAACATCGCTCAAATATCTGAAAATTTTGAAGGTGTCGCTTGCCATCGTGATTGCAACTTCGACAAAAAAGGAACAACTGGAAATTGTAGGTTGATAGATCTGCCGCTCGATACCTACAGGCTCTGAATCAGTCTCTTGGCGTTTAACAATGTGACATGTAGAAATGTGAAAGGCATTCCGATTGCATTTGCCTCACCCACAGAGGTATGCACGAATATTGTTGAATCATTATTCCTCTTGACGGCACATGCCACATCTTGTCAGCCATTAAAATAGTGGCGCTACTGAAGTGGTAGTTTTTAAGATTTGCAGCGCCAGAAAATTTTCAATTGTGGACATGCCTTTGATTCTCCATCATCAACAGAATCAAAGATGAATCACTTGTCAAAGTGAACTCAGCCAGAGAATCGATATTTTCGATGTTAGCATGTCAATCACGAAAAAGTTCTTCTCGAAAGTTTTTATATCGTTAGGAAGATTCAAATTGGTTTCCTCATTCTAAATCACTTGGCGCATCCTCAATTTCCAATATAAGGCGAGTAGCCACAATTAATTATTAATGCAGAATTTTAAATATTTATTGCAAAGATGGTAAATTTCTGTCTTGAAAATACTTAATGCGAAAAGAATAATTTATGATCCTTCGTATAATTTACTGTAAAATTGGATATTTCTCAGAATAAGGAAACAACCCTCACTTTGGAATAGGAATATAGGGCCAACACTGGACTAAACATTTACACCCTAGTAACTTGACGACACCATATCAGAATTGTTCAACGGTAATTTTGCCACACCTACCACAGATATCTGAGACGATCAGAAAATGCCTCTTCGACATGAGTTTAAGTTTGCAACAACCGGGCAAGAATCTGAGGATGCTTCTATTCACGTAATGTACCGAAAAAGGCAAAGAATGTGGTGGACAGCGTCGATAGAGGAAACTGGTATCACTGAGGTATCGGATATACGTTGGCAAATCCTGCAAGCAATAAGAGTCCGGCTCAAGGAGCATTTACCTGCGTCCGTCCAGAACGGACTGCCTACTCTGGCATTGCGAACACATGATTTCTGAGGTGCGCTCACTTAGTCAAACGAAAGCATCTGTAATCGACAAGGAATCGTCAAGTCTTAGTCTTTTGATAACAGAGTCCTTCCATATTTTGGCGATGAAATATTGTATGTGCAATAAATATTCCACTTCCGTTGTGATAAATCAAAATGAGGGTGCTCTCGCGCATTTGATAAGAAAGTTTGATATGGTGCCTTGCGTTAAGGTGGTTAAAAGCTAGAATGTTAAGTCATGTAAAGCTAGTTAGGGTCTAATACGCAGCAGACAAGCAAACATCAAAGACAGTACGGTGTCATAAGCAGAATGGCATCAAGACTGACAAGCGGTCCTCACGTCGAAAGCCGCATTGACCAAACAGATATCAGTGGTGAATTTCGCACCATGGCCAGGAACAGATGGCAAGAACCGCAAGAATTCCAAAACTGCTGCTGTCCTACTGGAAAATAGGTATCGTGGTTTTGGGTAACACGGCCAAATATGATTACACATTATCAGCATCTCCAACAAAAATTAGAGGAACATGGAAACATGATAAAGCTGAAGCAGTGATTGATTGTTGGAGCCTCCGGATAAAGAAACGATGCAAACCCTATGGGATTTGAGACACGCTACACATCAGACCTAGGTTCGCAAAAACGCTGAATAAAACTGCACGTAGGAATGCTCCAATTATAGGGGCATAACGTTATTGAGCCTCCCAGGTAAAGCCTACGCAAGGGTGTTAGAAAGGAGGTGCCGCGAAATAGCTGACGTCAAGATTCAAGAAGAGCAGTGTGGCTACCGGCCCGGTCGAAGTGCCTCTGACCATAAATTTGCCCTGTGCCAGAATGTTGAGAAATCGTGGGAGTACGCCTCTCTGGTGTACATGTGTTTTGTTGACCTAGAAAAAGCCTATGACCGGATCCCACGCAACAGTCTCTGGTCATGTCTTCGAGCATATGGGCAGGATAGATGGCTAGCTGCTAAGGGCCATCCAATCACTGTATTCTGATAGCAGGGCTGCGTCAGAGTTAATGGCGTT